TATGGAACTAACCCTTTATCTCCCATAGATTTAGCACCTTTACCTCAGATAGAACAGGCTTGTCAAGTTGGGTTAAGACGAGGAGAAGTCATAAGGAAGTTGCATGAAAAAGCAAAAGACAACTTGGAGAAGAAGGCCGTCGACAACAAACGCAAAGCTGATCGAGGAAGAAAAGAAATGTTATTTTAACCAGGAGATTGGGTCTGGTTACATATGAGGCCTGAGAGGTTTCCAACACAAAGAGCATCCAAGCTATCACCAAGAGGCGACGGACCATTCAAGATCCTCGAGAAGATCAATGACAATGCTTACCGTTTGGACCTACCTAATGAGGTAAAAATTTCTCATACTTTTAATGTCGCTGACTTGTCTGCTTATGATCCAGGAGATTCAGTTTTGAGGGCAAAACCTTTTGAAGAGGGAGGGAATGATGCGGACATCGATTATCCTGTCCAACCCGCTGAGCTAGATCAAGTACCAGATCCTGTACCACACCCTGTACCAGTCGTCCCAGTAGGTCCCATGACTCGTTCAAAGTCTAAACAACTTAGAAAGAGGTTCAACCTAGCAGTACAAGACATTGTGAGCTCACTAGAGCTGAACTACGTCAACTGGTCTGTACCACCTTTACTCCATCACGACGGATATGATCCCACCACCGAGGAAGAGCTTGCTGAAGCATTCACCCAAATGAGTCTTGAACATACCATTTCCCCAGGTATGAATTCTCCTTTGACAGGTCAAGAAACCTCTAGAATCCAAGAGAAGACAATGGAGTCACAAGAGACGAGCAAAACAAGCTTCGAGAGTGATCGAGAGAGTGAAGATCAAGAACAATACATCAAGGACTTGGAAGAGCTTCAAGAGACTGATCAAGCTACCCAAGAGAAACTCCAAGAAGCCATCTACTTCAAGAAACCAACAAACAAACATGCACCTGACAAGACCCCTGAAGTAGATCAAGACGTAGTTCAGAGAACATTAATTGGGCCTAGATCGCATCCAGGTAAGTTCTATTCAGTATTTTCGATATTTGCAGGTCCACTAAGCCCCAACAACGGCTAGAATATGTGCCCTTCAAGTGAGTTTAAGTGTGCACAATTAGTTTCTTTATTTTGTCATTTTCTTTCCAAAAAACAATGGGTTTTGTGTTTGCTTTTTATTTGTTTCCTTTTGTATTTCTTTGCATTTATTTTTGGCCCTAGGGCTAGCTGATGGACTCTTATAAAGTCCCCCAGCAGCAGTTGTACGATTTTTTCACCCTATTATCAATAAAGAACCCGAATTTTCTTTACTTCTTCTCTTTAAGTGTTCTTAAGAGAATAAGCTTGTTCTTTGTCTTGTGTGTGTGATTCCACAAGGCTAAGATCGTGTACTGTATCAGAGACCAATCACATCTCTGTGGTGTACTTCAATCCGCCAGCACTTCCCCTTCATTCGATCCCACACGAGAGAAGCGACCGCCATCGTGTCAGATCTACATCAACGACCATCTTTCCTACACAAGAGAGAAGCGACCGCCAACTTGTGTAGCCATCATATCTATCCTGATACAAGCTCACCATCGAGTCTTGTATCAGTACTCACCTTTCTAATGATTTGAATAGGATCTTACAAGATTTGTATGATGAGTACAGCAGAAACAGTTTATTGAACAAGAATAGTAGTGGTGGGTTATTTTTCTCATAATCAAGCACAAGGACCGTTGTCACAGTTCCAAGAGCAAGTTCCACCTGATTTTTGTGTGAGAACAGGTATAGTTGATATGGAAAACATATTTGATGAGATTGTGATGGAAACATGGATTCACAATTCTTCTAATGAGTTGGAGATATACTTAACGGATAAGGTGGAGAAACCAAGTATTCTAAAAGGTGCAGAATACGATTTGTTATCTTGGTGGAAGGTCAACAGTGGGAAGTATACGGCTCTATCAGTAATAGCTAAAGATATACTTGAAATGCAAGTGTCTTCCGTGGCTTCAGAATCTGCTTTTAGCATTGTGGTAGAATTTTAGATCCTTATAGGAGTTGTTTGACACACTATATGATTGAAGTGTTGATCTGCACTGAGCAATGGCTAAAATCAGAAATTCACATCAATGAGAAAGGAGTCTCTGCAATACAACATTTGCTTTCAGAAGTTGAGTACGATGATGAACTTATGAGAGGTAACTTTGATTTTGATTGCTAAATTGTTTCTAGTTTTCAGTTTATAAGTTTGAATTTGATTATGAAATTGTTGTGCTTACATTTTTTTTATTTTCTTATATAGAGTTTGAACCTGAATTCACACATTTGGACAGCTAATCTTGAGAATGAGACAAAGATGGTCTTTAATCTTTATACCAAGTTAGCAAGTCACAACTCTCAAAGTTTAGTTTAAGCATCGAGACTCTACATTTTACCACTGTTTAAACTTTAAATTATTAATTGACATTTGTTTTTTTCTTTCTAGGAAATATCAAAACAAAGACATCATTCATCCGTTTCCTAGTTTTACTTTTTTGAACATTAGACTTGTTTTTTATTTTTTTCCAGTTCTCTACTTCTAAGTTCTATCTATGTTTGAACTTTGAATAAGTCTTTGCTTTTTCTGTGACTTGGATTCTTTATCACTACTTTATTCACTTCAGTTTTTGAATTTTAAATTTGGAATTTGGAGTTATATTCCCTGTTTGGTGAGGCTTTTATGTGGTTTTGTTATATCAACTGCATGTTTTAATATGAATTTGTATGGTATAATGCAGGTTTTCGGGTAATTAATATACATTTTGGGTATTTGGGTCGGGTTCTACCCAAGCCGAACGGAACCCAGTTTTATTGGGTATTTACAGGGGTTTCAAATTTGTTACCCAAACCGACCCGAATCCGCTATTACCCACCCCGAAACCAAACCGAATGTCTAAAATTACCCAATGGGTTTTAGATTCATAAACCCATAAAACCCGAACCCGGCCCAAAAGCTCGTATGCCCAGGCCTACCCTTAACTTTTAGCTCAATCGGATTCCTCTTATTACCAAAAGGAGAAGCAAAGTGTCATCATAGACATAATGATTCTCTTCTTCAAGCTTTGGTCCAGTAAAAGAATCCAAGAACTTTGCCCCCAACATTCTTTCTCATAGCTTCTTCATGGTCCATAATATCCGTAGATGTTGTAAGAACAATGTAGCCAAACTGCAAAATTCAAGAACACAATGTAAGATAACCAAAGTTTAAAGATTTCTCTACATTAAAACAAATACTAAAACAAAGCAAAACCAAGATAACATAAGGCCACAAAACAAATTCCAGGCCTTGTATAAGGCACAAGAACTAGTATAAAGAGAACAAGACTAAAGATTAGCATGTCTGGAAGGAAGAAGACGAGCAATCCAACCTTCAATCTCTTTAACTCCAATATTAAAACGAGGACTGATGACTCCAAATTTGTTTGTCATCCATTAAGCTCAACAACGATTTACCAGACCTTCCTCTTCCCTCTCTTCTCAGCATTGTAGATATTGATAAGAGCATCATTAGGCACACTAATGCTCACCATTCTTCAAAACATTTCAACCTGTAACCCAAGAACAAAACAAGATCTTGTTACCAATACACTGTCATAATATATGAATATCCGGTCACAATATAATTTTGAAGAAAATGATTCTAATTTCAATATGTCACAATAAAATCGTCACAAACTCATGTTAGTTACAAAAAGGTCACAACATATTATGACGGCTTATAAGAGTAACAAATCATTAGTACTTGTGACGAATGTTAAATAGTCACAAAAAGACACAATTTATGAAAACTAAAACTGTCACAAATATGATACAAAATATGACAAAATAATAGTCACAAATATGATACAAAAGTGACCCACAAACGGTTACAAATATGATACAAATTGTGATGGGAAAATAGTCACAAAAATGATAGAAAATATGACCCCACCTAAACTGTCACATATATGATACAATATATGACCTACAAATTGTCACATATATGTCACAAATTACAACCATCATTGAGTCTCTAATTTTTCATATTAAGATCACTATTCCGAAAATATTAGTGACTTGATTGCTGTCACACAATTATCAAAAATTGTTACCTTTTTGTGACCTTTTTCTTGTAACAAATTGTTACCTAACTTTCTTAAAACCTGACAAATATTTTGTCACTATACAATTCCAAATTTTCTAAACAAATTTTAATAGAAAATAAATACCATATTGAAAATTAACTAGCAAACAACGATATATATAAATAACAAACTAAAAATATTCACATAAAAAGTTAGTTGATATGTATATATTTTACCACTTATGAGCTTGTGTTTATCATCTTTTCAACATCATTAACTTATTCAATTGCACCATTTTTTATCTCTTTTGCATGTTTTGCATACTTAGGTAGGTTTTACGCATATCATGCATGCATTCTGCAATTTGGAGCATTTTCAGGTACTTAAGTGAATCTAAAGCAGAATCAAGCATGTCACTCGATGTACACACTCGAGTGATACGATCGAGTAGCAGAGGTGATGCAGAGCGGTTTCAGATGTCACTCGAGTGAACCGATCGAGTAGCAGAAGAGATGCATGCGAAGTTCACATGTCACTCGAGGTGCTCACTCGAGTGACACCATCGCGTAAAAAGTGCCATTCGAGTAAGCTGCCTTCACAAGCCAGAGTCAGCACGTCACTCGAGGCATTCAGTCGAGTGACTCCATCGAGTGAACAGCACAAGAAGGACAAGAATCCTAATGTCACTCGAGGCACACACTCGAGTGACACAATTGAGTGAGGTACCAAAGTCAAACCGGAATCAACATGTCACTCGGGATGATCACGCGACCGACATGGTCATGAGGAATCCTGAACCGTTTTTTCTTTTGTCGTTTTATGTATTAGGGTTTTCCAAACATTATAAATAGGTCTCTTTTGGCATTGCCCAAGGGATCGAGCTTTTATCTTTAGGTTTTTGTTGTTAGCCATCGAACAATCCAGAAAATTGTAATCATATTTCTTTTAAGTTATGAAGATTTTGCACTTAGTTCTTTGAACATTGTTGTTAATCTTCCTGTCATCTTTAATATTATGTATGGTTTGGAGAATTCTAGGTTTTTGATGTTTAGGATGAATTCTGGATCTGAGTAGTGTTAGGGTTTTTGAGGATGGGATAGATTAGGTGGAGAACATTAGTCTTTTAGGGTGTTTAAGTTAGATTTGTTTGTTTCCCTTATGGATTAGAGTATGGATAGCCAATTCTTCTATGATCAAATGGAATTAGATCCCAGACATTTCAGCACATACCAAGTGTTTGATGAAATGTCTGAACAACTAATACCAGAAATATACTTGCTGAGCCTAAGAGATTATATGTCTAAGAAGTTTATTGACATTAATGTACTGTTTCTTCATGCATCTTTATTGCATGTTCCATCAAAGATATTTGAGATTAGGAAGTGTTGTAAACATGATAGTTTCTACCAAGAGATTGGATTGACTAGTATTTGATGTTCATTGTCTAGGGATTAGTATGTTTATCGTTTGTTAAACACCCTAAGTAGATTAGCATGCTCCACCTACATCAATAACCTCATCCTCAGGATCTTATATCCATTTGTGTTTACTTAACTGTTATTTTCCTATTATGTTATGTTGCTAGTATTGCTAGTCATTACGTTTTAGCTTATGCATGATAGTCTATGTCTTGCAGCTTTAATTTTACTACATGTTCAACATGTTCGCATAGGATGTTAGAAAACAAAACCGTTTAATGCTTGGCTTGACTTAATCATTTCTATAACATCTTGATTGCTAGCACACCTGATTGGATTGGCGCGTATTGTACTACAATGACATGATAGTACTCTAAAGTAATTGATAGAAAAATCCTAGTATCATTAATTCATAAACACAATTTAAAGGAAATTACAAACTAAAGAAAACAGCAAGGATAAATAAAAACCATAACAACTAGACAAAGGCGTGGACTGTTTTGGTAGTGGAGTTGAGTTTAGACATTTTGGCTTGCAAGAGTATCTCCAAAGCTTCAAGTCTTTTTTGGAACTGCCGATTTTCTTCAAGGCTTTTTTTAGGTCATTTTCCCTCTCTTGCACACGATGTGTGATCGTCTCTACTTCTTCAAAAGTTTGTGATGCACTTGATGAAGCACCAATAGATGGTAAACTCTCACTTAGGGCTCATATGGTGACTAATGAATTTGATCCAGCCATACTAATCTAAGCTTATCACAATTATAATCTCAGAAAAAGCATAAAGAAACACAAGATTTCGAAATTGTACCTTGTTATAAATTTCATTTCTCTCATTCTTGTCAAGACTTTCAGCTGTCACATTCTCTTCACCAGAAGATTCAAGTTATCCCAAAAGTTCTTGTACATACTTCTCATAAGTTTTCGTTACCAATTGTGCTCGTTGATCAACATATGTTCCATCGGGCTTCTGATGTGTTTTCTTCATCACATTTATAAGAGAGTAATCTCCATTGTTTGCTTCCTAGAAACAAAACAGTAAAACTAAGTGAACCTATACAAAAATGATCAAGAACAGAAATCAAATTTGAATTATTTATTGTAAAATTACCAAAGTATCTTGAACTTTGACAAATGAACGTGAACCCGCTCGGTGAGAATGTGGCCTTAAATCATTGCGATCAGACAGCCGAGATCTACGAGCCTTCTCACTAGTTTCCTTACCTTTTGATGTCGCCTATTGTCCTTGCATAATTGTCCAATGTTCAGACAAAATACAATCTGGTTTTTCTCCTCCATTATTTACATAGCTTATCATTCCTTTGAGGCGATATACAACAAGCTTATTGAACTCTCTTTCAACTTGATAGTTGATAGAAGCAACCCAATTAAACTTTTTCCAAACAAACAAAGTAATCGCTCATGAGATCATCTTTTCTCCAAGAGTACCATGGTCCCTTAAAAAAACTTTGAATGACTTTTCTTACAATAGTTGATACTTGGGTGTGGTGTTTAAACCTAAAATAAATTATGTTATGAGTTATTAGTAATCTCTGGTATTTAAAGTAAAAAGTCCATACCATTTAGCTCCATTCAACCGAGAAGGATGCAGCAAATGCAAAATTGAACGATCAACATGTGGCTCTTCCATGTGTACACTATCAACTTATGAACATTCAGAAGTTATTAGTCTCCAATTTTACAAACTGTTTTAGGTTCAAAACATTTAGTTAAATATTTACAGAAAGTCTCAGAATATTAAAACCTAGTTATCAAAAAATAAAGCAGAGACTAGTTAACATATTAAGACTGTAATCTAGAATAACAGAGGTTAACAAAGAATTTAAAACTGACACTTATGTAGATTAAGAGAGATTTGTAAAACCTATGAGTAAAGTATGTGTAAAGCGCCTAAAAACAGATATAACAAAGACTAACAAAGATTTGAATATGACTCTTATCTAGATTAACAAAGGTTAATAGAGAATGTGTAAACGTTCTAATCTAGACTAGAAGGGATTAACAAAGATTTGATAAACCTAGTATCCAGAGAATGTGTAAACCGACTAGATATATAACTTTAAAAAACATAGACTACCAGCATATAGATTCGAGAAGAAATTAGAGTTTAAACGATTAGAAGTTTAAAAATTTATACTATAAACAGAAGGTTTGAGCAGAGGTTAGAGTTTACCATCCTCATTACAAGTTTAAAAATCTATACTAGCCACAGGGAAATTTATTTTGACAAACGGATTAGAAAGTTAAAAAATATATACTAGCGAGGAGAATTGAAAGACTGATTAGCAGTTAAACATCTAGATTTACTTCTTAAAATATGTAAAAAAGTAACTTTCAGTGAGATCTCTGGGATGAAAAACAACCCAATAGGTCTTCTAAAAGAGAAGTGGCGTAGAGAACGAGTATGAGAAGTTAAGGGAGATGGTTAAATAGTTTTCACATAGTTTTAGGGATTTTAATGAGCCGGAGAAATTTTGGCAAAATTTAAAGCGGCTAATGAAAACTTTAGGTTTACTTGTGAAAATTTAAGGCGATTTTAAGGATCTCAAAAATATTGATACGGTTGATTTGCTTAATTTATTAATTTATTTGCATAGAGAACTAAATTATTTATTACATTTAAAAATATATATTTATTTAAGTGTCCACATAAACAAAGCCAGCCATACGACCTAAGTGTACGTAATACACTTACACAAACTCAGACCGAATTTATAAATGTAATTAACAATCATTTCATAGTTGACATCCTCAAAAATTACATTTACATATACTTAATGGCACACTATCATTCCAAAACATTTTTGGTTTAATAATGCAATATACTATAATATCAAACAACTAGTACTAAGGTAAAAGATGTCGTTACCTAAGTTTATTTCAATGACTATCTGTTTAAATATAATCAAAACAATTTTATGATGTCATGGAGAATGCAAAGCGTCGACCAACTCTATCCAAACTAGAAATTGCAAGTTAAGTGCAAATCATTCTTTGCCTCTACACATTCTCACCAATGAATAAACTAAAAACTGTATAATGTCAAGACTAAAGCGATAAAATTAGTTAAATGAGTTAGAGTTCTTGAAAGGATGATGAAACACATAACCAATTGGCATAACTGTTCAAGGAGAATCATCAGTCTTAGCATCATGCTCTGCCTTAATAACACATTCTTAAACCAAATTATGAGAATACTTGGGTTAAGAAGATTTTCCAAATACGTGTAATAAAAAAACTAATCTTTAGAAAGCTTCCAACAATAGTGTTCCATCTTATGTTCTTAAAACCCTTTTTGCTGAATACCAACTAACCTATAGCAACAATCTAGCAAGAGAGTGTCTCTGCTCTATGTTCATGCTTGCACTAACGCTTATCAACGTAACTGCAACCAAAAAATAATCCTACAATTAGTTCATTTATCATACAGTTACGTAATTGACAAAATTTAATCAAGATTATGACACATCTACAACACTAGATCACTAAATTACAAGTTATTTCAACTTTCTTTTAGTTCTTGTTAGTAAACTTTGATATGATAAGCATCTTCTTACCAAGAAAACAACAGAAGAATTCTACAAAATTGGTGTTGTTCTAGTTTTGTCCGTTAACAAGAAACCTCTACATGTCACAACGTTTCGGACAAACTCAGCAACGGAACCACATAACTAAATATCATAACATGTCTGTTTTCAAGAGAATATCAATAAGTTTTGACTCAAACTTGTAGACAACGCCAATTTGTAAAAGCCCGTACAATTAAAAGCGAGAGAATACCAAAACCTAGAACTAAATCTTTAGATATGTATTTTAACTGAATCCAACGAAGCAAATCCATCATCAAAAACACAAATTAGAAAGTACCAGTCTGAAGAATCTAAATGGTGCGGGTTTCAGTATCATCCTGAGTTTAATCAAACTTTCAAATATAGCAAACAAATATCCACCACTAGTTTCGTTCAACACTGATGCCCCAACATCGCTCTAGCCGCTTTTCTTCGACAGATCTCCATTTCCTTGCACTCTAAGGACGATGTTGACTCTCCAGAAGTTCGTATTGAGGAACCAAAATTTAGAAACAAGAACACAAGTAAAGGAATCAACCAAACAATCATGAAATCACCATATTGTTCAATCAGTTTAGATAAGCCTTGGTTATGCACTCACCTCTTGATTGGAATGAAAGAATGAAGAAAACACCAAGAACCACCAAGAACACGCCACAAGCTCTCCAGAAAACCTTCAAGAACACACTAATTAGAACCTTTTTGACCTATTTATCACTTAGAGATTTTTTTTCTTGAAAGCGACAAAACAACAAAAATGAAGAAAAAAGGTGGCTGCTCGAGTTTAAGAAGACCTAGGTCTTCCCTCAAACCATCATTCAATTAAACCAACGATTTACAAATCAAACTGTGAAACCAAAATTTGTTGGTGTTGATCGACACCCACCACTGGTGCCGATCGACACTACCAATTTTTGGACACGGGTGTTACAAAGTTTCATATCTTATCATTTTTAACATTATCTTCATTGAGTTTTGTGAAAGTGCCACCGAAACAATCTTAAAATCAGAAGGGAAACAAGAGATTGGATCGTGTGCGTAATAGGTCTACTAGTCGTCATTCAGAATACTCTTATTCTCGAGAACCTACTCCCTCTTGGTCGGCTCCTCCTTCTCCATTCTATAAATGTAATTGCCATGTTGGCTTTGATAGCCAGAATTTAAGAGCCACATGAGGTTGGATCGTTAGAAACTTCTAAGGAAGTCTATCTATTTAGGGGGGCTGTACAACTTGGTTTTGCAGCATCATCTTTGGAAGCAGAAACAAAGGCTTTGCTGATAGCTATTTAATAGATGTGAAGTCCTTATTAACATTGTCAACAAACTATCGACGAATCATGAATCACAAGTTTAATCAAGGATATTCTTTATTGGGCATCCAAATTTCTTTGATATCTTTCTATTTTTTAAAAAGAGCTTGTAATACTGCTATTCATAGTTTGGCAAAGTTTGGGTCCACAAATTGTAATTTTTATTCGAAGTTCGGTTCTTCAGCATGATTGGCTTAAAACAAAACTTTGTATTGACTCTGTTGATCTGTTATAAATTCGTATTTGAGGAAAAATATCATATTATTTGAAAAATCAATTTCTATCAATAGTTTCCGATCTTCTAAATTATCCAAATTTTAGCACCCTTCTTTTAAATCTTGAATTAGTCAATTGCTAGATGTCTAAATTTTCACAGCGAGTAAGTTCTAGTTATGCATTTTAATTTTTTGGTTTTCCAGTTCTAGTTATAGATAAAATTGTAGTTATCACATTATTAATGAAAATAAATAAATAATAACACATCATCATTATACCATTACATATATTTTCTTATTAGTGGACAAGTGTTAAAGTTCAAGTAAGAAAAGTACATGATTTGTATGTATCCAAATAGTGCTTGTGCTGATAATTGAACACAAACCCATCATGCCCAGCGGAAAAAATTTCATATTGGTTTTGTCAAGTCTCAGAGAGAGGCCATGAAACTTGGAAATTGACGAATTTAAAAATCGTAATTAAAATGTTAACATTCATATGCATGTATAGTAGCCCTGAGACGGATCCGGATATCCGGGGTTTTTGGAGGTATCCGGATCCGGATCCGTATCCGGCGGATATAGAGTTTTCTTATCCAAATCCGGATCCGGTTACCCCGGATATCCGAGTTTCGGATACCCGCAGAAAAATCTGGATATCCGCGGATATCCGGATCCGATTTTTTTTTTGTTCTTTTCGTTATTTCAATTCAGAACTATCGAGACACAAGCATGTGCGAGCATGAGATATGAACCATTTGCAAAAAGGCTAACTGAAAATCAACGTAGTTGAAGAAACACCGCGAAAAGAAAAACCAAACTTAAGGCTCGCCGATTCGGTGGAAGATGAAGGCGATTTGGTGGAGAGGAGAGGATGATTTGGTGGCAGGGATGGTCGCTTTGATAGATGAGGACGATCTAGTGGAAGAGGAGGACGATTTGGTGCCCTCGTGGTGGAGATGACCATTTTGGTGGCAGCTAGAAGAGTTGTTGCGGCGTCAAGGTGAAGAGAAGAAAAAAATGTGGTTGAGGTATTAGGGTTTGAAGGTTATTAGGCTTTAAAAATAAAAGTTAATGGGCTTAAGAATTATTATGTATTTTAAGCCCAGCTAAATGTGTAGGCCTCTTGTAAAAAAAAAGAAAAAAAAACTATGGGCTTAAACGTTATATGGACCGGATCCGGATATCCGGCCCAAATTATTTTAGCTATCCGAATCCGGTTCCGGATCCGGCCGGATATCTAAATCCAGTATCCGGATCCGTATCCGCCCAACCGGATATCCTGCTCTTCGGATCGGATTTTGGATTCGGATCCGGATTTTCAGTCCCAGGCCTAATGTATAGTAATGCAATATTCAAGAAAGTATTTTTTTTTTATTGTCTTTGCCAAAAGAAATGAAACACATCTACTACTCCTTCCGTCTACTATATATCTTTTATATCGCAACAACACATTATTCATAATACAAAACAAAAAATTAAAAAAATAGTTTCCTCGTTTGGTCCTAGACTCTTAATGCAATTCTAAGTAAATGGCACAATGATACCAATCTAATCTGAAATAGAAGACCAAAAGCATTCAAAGGCCTCAAACTCCAACCTATAATTACTAACCCGTTTCACTGGCCATCTCAAATCACTAATCTCTTCAAACATTTCATTGCCATCATCTAAAACCGAAAAAGGAGATTCTGGTAGACTCCAATCAAGCGAGGTTGAGATCATACTCTCCTTCATCCATGGAAACTCGAAAACTCCAAAACTCTCCTTATTACTTCCAAAACTTTCTACATTGTTGTTGGCTTTCACATGTTGTCTCTTCTTGTTCTTTTTCGTATGATCGTCGTTTTTCTTGCGTTTATGGCTTGTAGATGCACTCTCCATTGATCAAAATTTAAGATGATGAGTTTTGGAATGAATCGAGAATTAAATTTATAAATGGGAATGAAAAGTGGGAGGGGAGGAGAGGGAGTCACGCCTTCTTACCCGTATCGTATGCATCTGTCATTTAGCTTTTTAAAAGCAAACCAACAAAACCCTTTTGTGTTGTTTTCGTGTTTTCCTTCTTTTACGTTCTCATTTATATCTCTCCCAACCACACAAGTAAATAAAAAAAACGTACTAAGAGATAAAAGGATGAGGTGGATAGCAAGAAGAAACATAATCTATTTTTAGCGATTCTCTTTTATTTCACTACCCTCCATACACTGATCACTACTCTTGAGATAACTAAGTGAAAATAGAAAACAAAATGTTCTTAGTTAAAATGATATTTAAGTTCCTTCCCAAAGAAAAAAATAACCTCACATTTTTCTTAATCAATCTCACTAACTACAACCTGTCATTTTTCTTTATATATCTTAAATATATCGTTTTAATGAAGAAAATCCGTTATAATAGTACTTTAAATAAATAAAATTTAGATGTACACTAATTTAGAAATACCAGTTTACCCTTATAATTTTGCAGAGGAATAACATTCCATCCGCATATTTATGGCTTAGGAGTTTGCAAAAGGTTCAAGCAAAACACCTTGTGGATTGAATTCGAGTTTAAAACAAAAACAATTAGTTTGAGCAATCATTAAGGATACACTACGACTAATCAAGTGGTCAGCTTGAGATATCCCTATATGTTTAAGTAACCATGGAGTTCTCTTGGATCATAGGGCATTTCCGGAGCTGAAAGTAACATGAAATCATACAATCTTGATTCGAACATTCTATCCAACAACCGTTACAGACTTCAAAAACTCATAATTAATGTCATGCATCATGAATTATTAGAAGAAAGCTAAAATAGCCAATGTTCAGAATCTCACCAACACTTAATAGTTCTATGACAGTATAATCAAACTGATTTAATACAGATTGATATTATGCAATCCCTCTTAATAGTTGTTAGATAAACTCCAACAAAATATGTAAATTCCAAAAAATGTGGATTAAAATATATTTTTATCCCACATCGGAAGCTAAACAAAGATCCTAACAGTATATAAGATAGATGAGCCTCTCCACTAATTGTAAATTGGTTTTAAGTTAGAAGCGCATAATCTAATATACTGTCAAGATCCTTGTCCAGCTTCCGATGTGGGATATTCTATTTTTCAAATAGCTCAAATGAACATTATAATATATATATATAAAGTTAGCTTTTCTCTCTTCTCATTATGCCACATAAGCATCCACCTAAGCCACATTTTTGATTTTACATTAAAATAAGTTTAAAACATTATTTTAGTGCATACTTATGTTACTTATTTAATTAATATAAAGTTTATACATATAAAAATAAATTATGTAAAATAAATGAAAGGTTAAAATAAGAAAAACAATACTTGATTTTTTTTTATTAGTGGTAATAATATAATTCAACTTTCATTTTAAACTGATTATAGTTTAAAATTTTAAATATGTTACTGAGTTTTAGAATGGAATTAAATTTTAAATTTGTGGTAAAATAAAACAACATTTATGTAATTGTGATATTGTATATATAAAATTATAAAGAGGAAAAATAAAACTGAAAGTGAAATTTTAGTTTATAACATGATCAAAAAGAAAAAAATGATATTTCATAAATTGAATCAAATGCTTTTAATCCAAATTTGATTAATGAAAGATAATAATTAAAGAGAAAATAATTATAATATTTTTTGAAAATCATTATAAAAGATAATAAAATATAGAGAAATTGATAGCAATAACCTTTTTATGAGACCCTCTTTTAAAAATACCCTCTTTTTTTGCCATTTTCATTTTTGCCCTCTCTTAAATTTTAATGGCCATTTTACCCCTATTTGAAAGAATATTCTTTCCCAAAGTAAGGAATATTCCTTCCAAAAAATTTCCCGCCAAAATTTCCCTACCAAAAAAATTTCCGCCGCAAAAAGATTCCCGAAAAAAATTTTTTTTTTACAAAATTTTCCCGCCAAATTTTTTAAATGGTTAACAACATTTTTAAAGGGTTTAAAAGGGTTTTTAAAGGGATTTACAAGTGTTTTAATATGGTTTTTAAACAATTTGTAATGATTTTTAAAGGGTTTTAGAAGCCTACAAAGGTTTTTAAATGATTTACAATGGTTTTAAAAAGTTTTTATAAGTTTATAAAAGTTTTAAAAGGATTTACAAGGATTTTAAAATGATTTTAAAAATTTACAAGGATTTTTAAGGGTTTTTAAAAAGGATTTACAAGTGTATTTAAAGGCATACAAAGATTTAAAAATAGTTTTAAAGGATTTACAAGGGGTTTTAAAGGGTTTTAGAAGTTTACAAAGGTTTTTAAAGGGTTTACAAAAGTTTTTAAATGTATTACAAGTTCTTTAAAATGGTTTTTAAGGATTTACAAGGGTTTTTAAAGGGTTTTAGAAGTTTATAAAAGTTTTTATTAAATGATTTATCACGGTTATAAGAGGTTTAAAAGGATTTACAAGTGTTTATAAAATGATTAACAATGATTTTAAAAGATTAACTCAAGTTTTGAAAGGTTTTGGATGACTTTTAAAAGATTTACAAGATTTTTAAAGGATTTTTAAGGGATTTAAAAATATTTACAAGGTTTTTCAAAAGATTTTTTAAGGAATTGCAGAATAATTTGGCTGAATTTTTGGCGGGAAATTTTCCAGGAGGAATATTTTTTTTGTTGGAAGGAATATTCTTTTTGTTTTAAAGAAAATTCTTTCTTCATCATGGGTTATAATAAAGGAGTGTAATTTAGTCTTTTTGTACATTGAAGAGAGTATTTTTGAAAATGGACACATAAAGAGGGTACTTGTAGAAAAGAGTATCATAAAAAGGTTAGTTGTGCAAATCCCCCATAAAATATAACAATATGAATAGAAATTTAACAAAACAAAATTATAAACCTTTGCGCGCGGGTCAACTGCTAGTATATATATATTTCTAAAATTCATTTCAAACTATATTTTAATGCGCAGTACACCGCGGGACGACATTCCTAAAATGTATTCTTTTTATTAATTTTGTTTGGTATATAAGAATATACAACTATATTTTGATTTTTAATTCTATGATTTAACCCGTATATGATAATTTATTTTTTATATAATCGTAATTTGATCAAATTAAATAAATAAGTATAATATTTAAAATAATGAAATGATATTGACATGATATTCGTTTACATAGTATAATTTCATATTAAAATATTTTGTGAGTTATACGTAGACATCCCGTAAAAATATCAATAATCATAATTATGTAAATATCCCGTTCCATCACATGATCCGTGCTATATAATTATCAATAATATTTTAGCACATCTATTTTTGTATCGTTTGAGTAATATACATCCGTTTCTAAAAATTCAAATTGCAACATATGCAAAAAAAAATTATATTTTTATCATAGATATGTTTATGTAATAATATAAATTTCAAAACAAATAAGATCATTTAAAGATGTTGGAGAAATATTTGATTTATTAGGGAGAGATTTTAGGAAATTTGTTAAATGTAATAAATATTGATTTCTAATTTTGCAATTTTATTATGATTTAATTACAAAATTTATCTTAAACTTTTTCTATTTAATCAAATGGCATGAGATTAATTATGAAAATATCATAAAATAAAAGGTAGAACACAAAAGGTACTTCAAAAATGTTAATATAGATGAGTCCATCTAGAAGTTTTGATGTTTATTAAGTTAATATATCATAAAAGAAAACAAAAAGTTATCATTATCATTATTTCAAGAAGTGAATCAATGAACTTAAAACTCGAAATCAAAGCCCAAATCGAAGCCCAAAAACTGACTGACTTTGAGGTTCGCTCTATCATTTTCTCTCAGTTGTCCATCTTCTGGAAACCCACTGCCCACTGGCTTAGCCTAAACCCTAGTAGCCACAGAGAAGGAGAAGACGCTTTACCGTTTTGCCTTTTACGATTGTTCTGACCTACCCAACCTGGCTCCGCTCAATCTCCGTGGAAAGAAATGGCTTCTCCGTCGGAGTCTCTTCTCTCCATCGCTAGTTCTGTCTCTACAAGCTCAACTTTAATCAGACTCCGGATCTTCCGCCATGATATCCCGGAGATTCTTCAGAATTCCGGTGAACATTCAATATCTATCCAATAGCTCGATTGTTGTGAATACAAATTTCTTTTCGCTTTTTCCCGTTTAGGGTTAATGTTTGTCTTATGTTAGAGTTGATTGTGAACTAAATCCTAGTTCCTTGTAAGTGTAATGGTCGAATCATTTATCACATTGAAACTGGATTTGTTCTTAGAAATTGTCATTTCATGAGATTGTAAGCTTCATATTTTGTGATTCCTGCACATGGCATTACTGATTGGTGGAAACATGCTGCGATAGAAGGGATTAGATAGATTTAGCTAAGATTTTAGATTTTCCTCTTGTCTGGGAATTTTTACTCTGTACAGCGTTCTAATTTCAGGTGATCTAAATGATTTATTTGCAGATATGACGTCTGATATTGCACCTGTTCTGGTTGATATAATATTTCAAACATTGGCTATATATGATGACCGCAGCTCACGAAAAGCTGTGGATGATTTGATTGTAAAGGGCCTGGGGAATGTTACTTTCATGAAAACTTTCGCGGCCATGCTTGTACAAGTTATGGAAAAGCAGTTGAAGTGTTGTTTTGATACCGTCTGTTACAGACTACTAACTTGGTCATGTCTTCTTCTGGGAAAAAGTCAATTCGCTACAGTTTCGAAGAATGCATTTGTAAGAGTAGCATCAACACAGGCTTCCTTACTTCACACTATTATGGATAGCTCTTTCCGCATACGGAGGGCTTGTAAAAGATTCATGTTCCATTTGTTCTCTCAGGTCTGGCTTCGTGCTGTACATTTGTATGAAATATCTAATTGTAAGTACTGTGTTGATTAAGAATTCGGTTGTTCTTTTGTA